ATCAGTTCAACGCAGCTTCATGTTGGAAGTGGATTTTGTATAGTAAAATTGTGACCAGTGGATGATAAATAAAGTGGGAACATTTACAACAGGGTTAAGTTGAAAAATTCCTATTTTTGCTTTAAGTTTATTGTTGTATTTCATAATGATTTATTTAATGTTCTTGCTGATATTGGCAATGCACCTCTTCCATTTGCCCCTTTTGTCTTTTAGCACCCTCTAACGTTCATCAACTGAACTGCAACACCTTCTCTACATCTTTAGCTGTGTGCTCTTCAACAACCCTTCCTCAGGCCTCATCACATCTCACTCATATACAAATCTATGCTAATAATCACAGCTTCAAATTCATCCCCAAATGATCTCTTTAGATTAAACTGCATTTAGGCATTAATTCATTTTTGAATATTAGTCCTCCTCAGTGTCTCTCATCTGTGAAAGCATCACACTTATACTGAATAAGCTTAGCAAATGAACAGCATTTAATATCAGCACAAGATGAAAGCATGATCTGGTGAAACAGACACACGGCCTCATAACGTGATTATGAGAAAGTAAGATGTGAGCCTACGTGCTCGTATCTCTCACTCTGACACGAGGACTCACGGGGACTTATTTTTATTTGATTCACTCGGGAACACACAAGCAAACTATATATACACGATAAAACTCCACAGCATCTTTTAAAAAGGCAATATTCACCAAATTATAGTAAAAAAAACAACAACAAAAAAGAAATTAACCCGTGAAGATCAAGATTTAACAAGATAAGTGGTATAATGTGCATCATTTAAAACAAGAACAAGGCAGGCAGACAGCCATGCAATAGCATACAGTATGCATGCTTGAAGTAAGAGAACACGGAAGTCAAGCAGTCTGCAACTTGTTTTGAAGCATGAAAACATCAAAACTTACTCAAAAACTCTGGATAATGAGCTTATTTGTCTTAATCAATAAAGAGTTCAAGCTTCAACGAGCAACAAGCATTAGATGTCAGTAAGTGGGTGTAACTAAAGCATGCTAGGTGCTTAGCTTAGATTATGTTATACGCCCGATATGATGCTAACTTTCAAGTTTAAAAAGTTTGGGTCAAGTTTTCTGGAAGATTCTTCTTTGTTAAAGCATTTAAACTTTTATCCAAAATACATGTTCGGTCTTTTGGATAAAAGACTTAATATTTTAACAAAGAATAATCCGTCCAGAGAGCTTGAATCAACTTTACCTACCTGGATTATTGAACATGCTTCAGGGTAATTTTCAATGTCTTAATTTGATTAGGGGTAGAGGTTATGATGTATCAAATTTATAAGTTAAACAGTTAATAAACACCATTTAAACTGCAGATTTTAAAATATATGTTAACGTGACTTCCTATTTTATTTACTTTGACCTTTGTGCTAAATAAACACAAATGATGATCTGTAAAATATGACCCTGATCGTTGAGAGGTGCAAAACAAACATATAGGTGCACGTGGAGAAGAGGTGTTACATATTCATGTAAATTTGTGTTTGATGCAAGTTCTGTTCATCAAATGAGTAATTTCATGCAAATGTGTGGTGTTTGGTGATCGTTTCAACTAAACTAACACACTACAAGTCAAGGGAACAACTAGTAAAGTAAAATTATCTAATTGCAAGCATTCATATGAAAAGTATGGGGCCAAAGTAAATACATTACATAATCACACACACACACACAAAAAGAAA